AGACTTCGTCTCACCTATTTTGGTCATGTTGTAAGAAGGGACCATTCCCTGGAGAAGGATGTCATGCTTGGTAGGGTGGAGGGTCGACGAAAGAGGGGAAGGCCTTCAACGAGTTGGATTGACACAGTGGCTGCGATGATGGGCTCAAGTATAGCAGGGATGTGGGGCTGGCGCGGGATTGGGCAGTGTTTCGTTCTGCTGTGCATGGGGTTGCTATGAGTCGGAAATGACTTGATGGCACTTAACAACAACAACAACATGAACCTGTTGCCGTCATTTTGTTCTGTGCTTTTTCATGGTGTTTATTTCTGTGTTCCATATAATTTTCTGTGCTGAGCTCATTTGGTTTATGAATTGTATTAACACTTCCTTGCTGTTGTTTTAGTATTTGCTAAATATTTGTGCTGGTCTTCTTTTTTAATTTTGATGTGAAGGTTTATCATTTTTCTTTGAAGTTACCCTGTGATTTATAGTTTTTTTTCTCAAGCTTAGAACAGTCTGTTCTATCTTGTAGTTGTCTTGACTTCCCTACCATTTAGAGGTTCTGCAACGACACAGGTTTTTCCTTCATTTTGGTTTGTAGTTGTCCTCAGTTGTCAATTGATGTCTCTGGTTCCCTGTTTACAATCTTGTAGGCTTATTTACTTTGGATACTTCCATAACTGGTTTGGTTTCTGGGTTATGTCATCATGTGTGTTAATGGTCGGTTGTTGTTTGCTGTTATTGCTTCTCTGTCCAAAGGACTCCCTTTACCATGTCTTGCAAGGTTGGTCTGGTTTTAACAAATTCCCTTAATTTCTGCTTATCTCAAAATGTCCTAATTTCACCATCATATTTGAGGGACAGTTTTGCTGAGTATATTATTCTTGGTTGGAAATTTTTCTCTTTCAGTGTTTTATATATACCATCCTGTTGCCTTCTCGCCTGCACGATTTCTGCTGAAAAATGTGAGCTTAGTCTTATTGGTTGCCCCTTGTAGGTAACTTGTCATTTTTCCATGCTGCCCTCAGGATTCTTTTTTTGTCTTTGGTTTTGGTGAGTTTGATGATGATACGTCTGGGTGATTTTCTTTTGTGGTCTATCCTGTTGGGGTTCGTTGGACTTCCTGAATGGATATATTCTCATCTTTCATCATACCAGGAAAAATCTCTTCCAGCAAATCTTTGATAATTTTTTTCCTGGTTTTATTTGTCTCTTCCTGTTCTGGAATTCTGATCACATGTAGGTTATTCCTTTTGATGGTATTC